CTTTCCTATGTGGCAGACTAGATTATATCACCAGATGCAACAAAAGACTACGGGAAAAACTATAAATCCATTTCAGTAATAGACTGCTATACCAACAATAAAGAAGACTGGACAAAAACAAGTAAATACACGCGCCCAGTATCCTAGTTATGTTATCAAACATAAAGAATTGATCTTATTAGTAAGCTTTAGTATGTCATAGACAAATATTATTCTACAAAGCTAGCCCAAGGTCATAAACATACTTTCGTCATAGGCACTGACGAAAGTTGCTGTCCTACGATTCTGATGCAGCTACACTCACCTCTTGTTAGAACGAGTTTGTCGCATTTGAGATCCCCTGGTTTGCAAACCATGCACCCATCAACAAATTTGTTGTTTTCCTCAAAAGGTGATAAATTCGTCACGTCTGCTCTACTTAATACCTTCTCCGAACTCTGAAAGGAAAAAGTCGATTCATCGCTGTATTTTAACTTAAATGAATTTTATACTTTTTTGAAATGTAGCACATTATAGATTTGATCTGAAAATCTATACCCTCATACCTTTTTCATAGGTTGCAGAACATCATTCACCTCAGCAACTATACAGTTAACCCGCTCATTTTGCAACTCGTTCAATACACCTAAAAAGAAGGTGATAATTCTTCAAAATAGGAGAGGAAGGGTAAATTATTGTGCATATACACTCCTTATAAGAATGACAGATAAAATACACGGAAAACAAACATAAAAAGGCACGTTAATATGAAAAGCAAGCTATTATCTTACCTTGTATTTGGCAATTGTTGGAAAGGGTTCTTCGGACTTTCACTGTTGAATCCTATTCGAAAAAATTCCATTTTAAATGATTATCATATTTGTCATTCTGTATATAAATTGATATGACACGTCAGAAGGAACTTTATAAGAACTAGTAGAAAATGAATTAAAACTATAGATGGTAGATAGTTTGTACAAGTATAATAGTTAAAACTTACAGCACATAATGCATGATTCCAATAGACAGTCAGCCGGGAACCATTTTCACCACATGATCTTCTCACCGCCTCTTCATATGTTGTTCCTTTGGTATCCATATAGTCCAGACAAAGTAAATCTGGCAGGATGATATAATCAATAAACTGTACAGATGTCAACCCATATCTCATGCAGGTGACTGTTGGTAGGGATACACCGAAATACTCATGTTCTGGTACTTCGTTACAAAACATTTTATAAAGCGCTCCTTTCAACAGCTCCATATCTACATCTGTTACCAATTGCCCTAAGAAGCGCAGCTCTCTCTTAAAAAGAGAAATGAGTTTTTCCTTCCCAAAAAATGCCAATACCATGTATCTCTCATTCCCTGTCTTCAGGTTTAATACTAAACGCTTCAAAACTGTTTTTTTAAGTGCTGCAACGACGTCAATTTTTTCTCGACTTCCTGCTGTTCAAGATAAATCGAATCATCAGTCGAGTGAGTGCCGTCCACTGCTTGTGACTCTAGGCTATAATCTTCATTTGAAGCTTCATGGCGACTGTCGACGTATTTCTTAAGCGTTACAAAGAAAAAATTAACTTTTCCATAGCCAGGCACACTATCGCGTATCTGTAAGTTTTTTCTTATGACATCAATGTTGACATCGCTGACATTTTCTGGCAAAGACTGGCGTTTCAAACTCACTGTCTCGTGAAATGAAGATGCTATCTGTGCGATCCAGTAACGAAAAAGGAGCAGGTTTTGTGCATGGACAGAATAGAAAACGCTAGGAAACATATAGTTGTAGGCATTTATACAGGCAAAAACTCCGCAAGAGGATTCATCTGTTTGTAACTGTAAAGTTCTTGGATTTAAAAGGGTCCACTCTTGTTGATAAAACGATACGTCGTGCAGTTCGGCAGACAGTTTTAGCAGAGACAAAATTCTATAAAATATTGTCCTTCCCTGGTCTGACTGTCGCAATGGGTTAGCCAAGACAATGCATTTACTTTTTGGGTATATGGCTACAACAACCCAATGGCATTCTTCAGAGTTTACCGGGATAATAATGACATCATAAGTGTTAATAGCGTTTACCGATAAAAACGAGCTGACCTCAGACGTTGAAAATCTGTTCCTGCAAAAGTTTGCATGGAAGGTACCCGAAGTAGCGAGTATGTTACTCTCCGAAAAGATCCTTGATGCTGTAAAAATGAAATGCGAAACGACATCTCCATTCAAGGGCATGCCATGACAAAGTGTGCGGAGATCGTGTGCGGCGGCGTAGCAGGCCCTAGCATCCCAAACCAGTACCTTTCAACTAATCGTTGTTCTGCTCTAGGAATTGTTGGCACCTCGCAAAGTGAATAGTTGTTCTTGTTTTTAGGTTCCAGGAAGTAGAATAATAAATGGCAGGATTTTTTGAATGTCTGGAGGTTCATAAAGCTATCTGCATTTCTTACTTTTACTGAAGTGTCATCAAAGGTCTTGATCGTTTTCTTATCGAATAGGTGCGTTGCGTATTGTCCACTTCCATTAGTATAGGCATAATGCGAAACCGCTGCCTTCAGTTTATAAACATGATTAGAATGCATTTTTCTTGCAGAGTACTGTTCTAGATCCAGCTCTTTCTCAATATCAACGGGTGTTTGAACTATTCGCCCTCGTCCTTGCCAAGTTGCACGCTTCAGCTGGATCACTAGAATCGTTGGAAAATTGTGGATGACAGTTGCTTCCCAAACGGAACAGTTCTTGCATTGTTCACGACAGACAGTTTTACTGTAGCTTGGGTCGTCGTAGTGCTTTCCCATGAGTTGCAACCATATAAGGTTTGTCAGCTTGACTGGGTCAGGGGAGTCAACCACCGCTACGTTAAACAAAGTGTTTCGATGAACAGACCCAGCCATGCCTTTACAGTTCAAGCAGCATCGAAGATCTAAGCAAACAAACTGGAGATCGTTAATCATTTCTTCACTTGGGACACTTTCCAAGTAATTTGTTATGATTGTTGCATAAAATTCTGATGCATCTCTTTGAGTTCCTGAGCTAGCATCAAAACGCTCACCTTGACTGCTTTTCCCTTGAGCATGAAGTCCGACATCTTCCACCATTCGCAAACTCAATGGAGCTTTTTGGTTTTTCATTAGCCGCAAGCGACAAAGTAAGAGAGCCTGGGAGATTGGCAGGTCTTTACTTCCATCGTACGAAAACAATAGGTCAGCTATGCCAGTACCACACATTACCTGTGCAATGCAATTCAACCAGCAGTTGCTTTTGTTGTTGGTAATACCACGGTCATGACCAAGAAGATCAATGCTTGGAAAATGTCTGTTAATCTCTGTGTCTAAAAATAGATGCTTGCAGACTATGGCTTTGATGGCAGGGTCCAATAAATAAAATTCTTCAAAAACTTGTTTTATTAATCCGCTAGCATCATCATTGATTCGGTCATCGTAATGACTCACCAGCTGAGCTGTACCTCTAAATGTCTTCTCTAGGCATATGCTACAGTGGTATCGGGGTATCATATTTGCCAAAAATCCATCCTCCAGTTTAATGCACGAAGAGTGGAACCAGTCTTCGCACACATTGCATTGAACCATGCAAGAGCCTGACGGCCTGAATGGCTGCTTACAAATACAGTATACCTCTTTACCTCGAGACTTTGGTGTAGAAATATCCTGCTTTTCTGAATCAGAAAGATTTAGAAAACGCCTTCGTAGCTCAGTTATGCACTTTTCGGTAGTTGGCAGTGTTTTAGATACAGATGACCAATTTTTTGCTTTGTAGGCATTGAATCGCATTTTGTCATCTTTAGATCTAATTCCGTTATTGCTTTGCAAGTCCATCTTTCTGTTTAATAGTTTAGGCGTTGCTTTGAAAACAATTGGAGTAGTCGGCGGCTCAGAATACTGCCTAGAAATATGGCTGGTATCTTTTCTAGCACATGGTTTTTGCCATTCTTCCTCTTCCTCCATTTCAGCTTCGCTGCTCGTTTCACACAAAACGTTTCCATCATTTGGATAACGGGGCGTTGACCTCTCTAGGCGCTTCAAGCTTCCAGCGTTTTTAGAGCTGTTCACCCGCAATGAATCTACAAACTGCCGCCTAAGACCACAAAAATTTTGAAAGTGTTTATAGATAAATTCGTCAATCGGTACCGATGAGCATGAAAAGCTTTGCTTTATAAAAGCAAAATAATTTTCGGCATATGCGTTGGTACTTCCAACGTCAAACATCCTCTTTCCAACAAGGCTTTTTCCAGTGGTTGAATGGCTCTTCATGACTGGGCTTCTTTCTAAAGAAAGTATGATTCTGGTCCATAATGGGAGATATGGTACCAGAACCGACTGAAAGTAGTCCATATACTCCGGAAAGAAATACTTGTTTCTTGTTTCAAAGTCGTCGATCGGTAGATCAATGGCTTGTAAGTGTCGCTCTATATGTTTCTTGAATTTATTAGATGACTTTGATGCAACTACAATACAATCAGCTTCGTTATCATTATCTGCAATAGCATTTTTTTTGGTATTCATTCTGAATTCGTTCACTATTCTTGATAAATTGTCAAGAGCATCTTGTACATTTGGGTTAGTAAATTCTGACATAAATGCAATGTAAGCTAATTTTATTATGTCAGTAGCATCTTCCATCGTTTCAATGTTTGTCAACAAACCGATTATTCTCATCACAAGATGTTTCACTGATGGCAAATTGTCTGAAGTAATTCTTGTCCCTGCATGTCTCTCCACAAACTTCGCACTTGATTTTGAAATGTGGGCTGCGCAAATTAAAACAAGTGTTATGCTTATACAGTAAATCCCCGCATATAAGAACCTACTTTTTTGAGGTTCAGACTGAAGTAGGTTCTTATTGGCAAAGGTACTTGGATTAATTTCAGGGTTTGAAGGTTCTTATTCGAAGGATCCCTTATTTCAAATTTTAGTATTCATTATCAAGAGATGCATTCAACCCTGTTTTTTCCTTTTGGCAATGTTATTAATGCAACATTACAAAGATAAAGACATATAAAAAATCTGGGAGTAAAAAAGGACCATTGAAACTCTATTTTTTGCCCTTGGGAAAAGAACCTATTATATTTTATCACACTGAAACAGGTTCTTAATTACAAGGTGCATAATTTAGGAAAAACAGCCTCTAGGTTCTTATTTTTGTAGGTTCTTATATGCGGGGATTTACTGTATTGGCGCATTTTCCTTGCAACATATCGTAACATTGGTTCACGTAACTTTCAACAGTCATACCATAGTTGAACTCTAGTAAGCAGGAGGATATAACTGCACTACTAAAGTCTGTTCTAATTGCGAATGGTTGAATGTTATTGCCATACAAAGATTTTTCCTTCGCCCGAAGCAATGCAAATAATCGTTGAATTGAGCTTGCTGTATGCGTGGAGGAAATAAGTTCAGCCACAGGTATTGGTGGTGAATTTCCAAACGGATCTCTAATTGTTAAAGGTGAACTGACACGCAAAATTAACTTGACCTCAAATGAAAGCATATCGAGCAAAAATACCTGGTACATTATTATTTTTTTAATATTCAACACAGTTTTCGAGTTATTGAGCGTCAAAGTTAGCTACCGAACATTTCCCGAGCACGGACGAGTTTGCCCGAGCCTTCCGCATAATCGTGACGTCACAAACACCATGTTCACATCACTTGAACAACACGGCAGTCTGGAGGGTGGTACTTTCATGACTTTGCGGATGAGCATCGATACATTAATTGAGTAGGTTTTGGCTCCATTTCGACAATCTGATAGGAAAACAGATCATGACTCCTTTACAAACCGTTCATAATAAGATTTGCAAGAATATCGTATTATTCAACGCCTTTGAGGCCCTTCATCCATCTTGCAGAACCCAGTGTGTGGCGGGCCAACATATCGAATAATGGTAGCGATGAAAATATTGGCAGGATTTTTTATTTTCTGGAAACCTAAGTAAAATACTTATATTTTGTTAAATACGGCTGCTGTTTGACTTATTTATCAGGGCTTCCCTCCGCCCCCCAAAAGTTAATCTCGGTCTTTGATCCTGGTTAACTTCAATATACGCAGTAAAGGTTTCGAATTAACGTCACTCATTTTCGGCATATTTTTTATTCAATCACATGGAAGATTTTCAGGGGTTAAGCACCTGGTACGATCGCTTCGCTATTTGCAGGATAACAACTTAGTAAAACTTTCATCTCCCAGGCCGCTGCCCCCCTGTAACTCGAGTGAACCGATGAGTTGGCAAACCCAAAATAAAATAACGTTCATGATTTATATGGATGTATATCGAAGTAATAATATATTGAATTTATTCGAAAAAGAAGCTAGATTCATGATAAAATGAAAAGATTCTTACATTCGTCCGCATGATTGACTTCAGAATTGAGAATTTCTTCGAGCAGCTAAAAGTGCCTATTCCTTCCAAAGATAAATTCCCTCCTAACATAACGCAGTACCAGCCAGCACATATCCTTCGTACATTTCATTAGCCTCGAATTTTCATGAATCTTGGATCAAAGGCTACGTATATCTCCTCGAATAGTAACTGAACAAGATGAACTGAACTGTCCAGTCCATGCGGGATTTCCATTCAAGGAATCAAAACATGGTGTTTGTGACGTCACACGCACTGGGTCACATGAAATGCCGACAATGGTCGAGCACTCGACGATAATTTCATGACATTTAGAGCGGAAATGCGTCAAAACGGACAATAATAATTAACCGAAAACTTGAAATTAAGATTCCATTCATCGTTTTCTGCATTATATCAAAAAATAGTTTTGCGTGTCAGTTCACCTTTAAGGAATATAAAAGGATCCTATTAAATCCTTTGATCGGTTTTATTATTGTTCCCGTTGCATCAAAAAACAACACGTCTTTTGAGCAGACATGACGAAAAAGTCTAACACCAGGAGCGGATCCAGACTATAGCAACTGTAGCTCGAGCTATAGTCAAATTCTCAGTGTTTGATTTTCGAAATACAAAGTTTCCTTGCAGTCCCTAAAAATGTGTTTATGCCCACAAGTGTTTACTATCAACATTTGAAAGCAGCGGTATAGGTTATCAAATGCGATAAACAAACATGCAATGCTGGCAATGTGTCATCACAATGCCTCTCCAGATAAGATATAAAACACTGAGCGCAGAATGGTCTAATATTAAAATTTAGACGAATCAGAAGTTTCGTTCTTTGTTGACAGTAACCAACCAGAATTGAGCTACAGTGGGTATTCCGAGCTATAGTCGGTCTGGGGATTTGCTCTGGAAAAGGCATCGAAGACAATGAAACCCGTACTATAATTTTTGGCGCGAGCTATAGTGAAGCTATAGTCAGGTTTGAAAATGGCCTTTTAACCAATAGAATATGATTATCCACGTTACTTCTCCGCTCTCTGTCCCCTGTAAAGCAACAGTGGACTATAGCTCGTTTTCACATCCTGGGTCCCCTGTAATGTAGCTTCAAAGGCAAGGACCTACTAGGGAATAGACAGGGACGGCGGAACGACCAAGCGGCGAGAGAGGGAGGAGGGGGTGGGGGGCAGGCTTGAGTAAAAGGGCTTTTTATTCATACGTAACTGCAATTTCATTTCGATCTTCTGTAGGTATCTTCAACATTGGCTAGCTTTCGGCATATAGAACTATTTTACATGTTTTGAGAAGTTCAGAATTTTATATGAATCTCTCTGATTATTACAATTGGCCAGTTTCAAGGCAACTTTATTAAAAACAACCCTTGCCCCTTCTGTCAAAGGGCAACAGGGGCGGTTGTATCCCCACACCCCCTTCTCTGGCGTCCCTGGAAATAGAAAAAAAATGTTCGAAGGAATATTTATTAATACGAAGCAACTATAAACACACATGGTTATATCATTTGCCCATATAGTGGGCGTGTCCCACAAGCAAGGAGGGCGTGGTCCCGATCCCAAAAGATTTGAGCTATAGTCACCAAAAATCCTGGATCCGCCCCTCCTAACACTACCTTCATCAGACAGAACAACACACAAACTGTCATTCGTTACGTCATTTGATTGCACAAAGCCCAATATTGTCTGTCTTTCCATCATGGACTTAAAGTGTACTCTATTATAATCTCTTATTTTTTTGTCAGAAGCCCGTATTTTCTCAGCTACAATGCTGACATCACTTTCCAATGCCTTGGCCTCAGCTGATATATGTTGAAATGCCTTTGCAGACACTCCGCACCCTGACCTATTGCCAGCAGAGTAAGCGTCTGCCGTTATTTCTTCAAGCTTTTGTCTGTATAACCCAGATGGTTTCGAGGACGTTTCTCTGAATACATCTTTCAGATTATTTCTTTCTGTTCCAGTCATTCTTTGGGCACGTAAATTGGATGCATCATGCTGCATCCCCTCGAAAATCTATATTTATGTCCTTACTGTGCTCGCTCTCAATGCAAAGCAGAACATTACATTTGCATTTTTTAATGGTACAAAATCCACTTGCTTTGAAAAACGGGCTTTTCTTTTTTCTCGAAGCTTCGTTTTTTATGTGGTTATGCTTGAATGCAAACACACAGAATGGATTGAATTTTACGATCATTTTGCTAGAGAATGCAGTCCACTCACCCGCGAAACGACGACTCCCATCCTTTAATGTTTTGATCTCAAGATTTCTCCATACAGGGTCTAAGGGCATGACTCTTTTCACACCACTACCAGTAAGTAAGCTGGCTAACTTTTCCGACAGTCCAAAATCTTCGAAGCAATCCCTTTCGGCATCCGTACCTATTTCCTGACCTTTCTTTATCTCTGTAATAGGCAATAAGGATTCACCTTTATCACAATCCAACTGATCAAATGAATGGTCTGCCTCCCTCGCTTTACCCCTAGCATCGGCATTGGCAACTTTCTCAGAGGTAACATTGCTATTTGTTTCTTCTACTGAAGGCTCTCTGGATACTACTGATGTTAACGAGGAGTGAACTTTTTCAACCAAATCATTTGCTGCCTCCACGAACTTTTCAGCACACATTACATTTCCTACAATCTTTTTGTACTTATATGAAATGAGTCGATAATTTCGTTTATGATATCTCCAGATCGCTAATATTTCGGCGCTGGTAACATCATTTCTACCAAGGTAGTGTCTACAGATTTTTGGCCGTAATGTAAAGTTAATGCACGCTTTAAAGGAATTTTTGCCGCAATAAGTGAATTGACATACTTTGCAAGTTATATTTTTACCCTTGGCTCTTCATCTTCAGAAGGCTTGTGCATCTTTTGTCTTTTCATTTCACTCAATTTACTTCTGTCATTTGAACGGTTGCAACCAGTACGTAAATAGCCCCTACTTCTTCTGTTGGTTGAGATGCCATTGCCCCCACTTGAATTTCTGTCATTCGCTCCGCATGGCGTTCTGTGTGATCCTTGCCTTCCATTCAAAGTTTGATGCACAAGTGCCAATGCACAAGATTTGAAAAGATTTTCCAATATTGCTTGGCGAGCTAAACAGTTCTTCTTAGTACATTTACCTTTCCTTGCCAATAAGCATCTTCTTGAAGAATGCACCATGGCTCCGCGAGTAAACTTATCCGACGATCCCTTGGATAAGAATTACATGGTTGCATGTACGCGAACTGGACACAAAATTTCCTTGTATGATTTGTTCTAAAGGCCTAAAGATGCGGTAGCCAAATGATCTTTATGCCTAATTCCTTGCTTGCCACATAAAAGCATTGCTCTTACTGTGAAACTAAATTACACTGCGTCAAGCCGAAAACCCACTCCGGAAAATGATCCGCGGATTGGATCAGATTTTGTGTTGTGCAAGCGCTTTGGATGCAAAAATGGTCACATGACTGATCCGCGACGGATCGAAACGGATCGAAAAAAAAGTTAAAATCATTTCAACTTTTTTTTAACCGTCCCGGTACAGTAGTTTTCTTTTGATCAAAATCGAATTAGAACTTTTTAAACAATAGGGCACTTGCGTCACGAGGCAAGAATCCCGTGGAGATAATTCCAATCTGAAACGATCCGCGGATCCAAAAAATAACACGGTCTGATCCGATCCGCGGATCATTTTCCGGAGTGGGTTTTCTGCTTCAAACAGCGTTTTTCAAAATACGAATTCAAGTGTTGACATCTAGTGCGTCACTTTGTGCTTTTTCCAAAGAACACAATCGTGGTGATGTTGGACTTGATTATGGGCTATGTCTCACGCATTTACAGGAGAGTCGAGAAAAGTTGTTAACCTTAACAAAAGCTTACTAACCTTTGTCATTTTGAATGGGTTGAAAGTGGGCGTGATGGGGAAATTGGGTTAACTCGATTAGATTTGCTTCCCTCTCTTTGCTACTCTGTTTTTCTGAAGCATTTGTAAAATATCTAGCTTGTTTTCAATTATAGATAGTTCTTGAGACAGATGAAAAGTTGATAAAATCTATTCGTTTTGCAGTGCAAAGTAGTTTTGCAAACCAGTGGCGAATCTAGCCTTAAAAATCTAGGGGATGGGGCTAGCCGGGAGCCAAACTTTCAGTTATAGGGGCCAACGCTATAACAAAATCACAAAAGTTTCTTGAAGGCTTGAATGCTTTATCATATTTTTATTAATGAAATTGTTCTCTTGAACCAAGAGAACTTGTTTCACTTTTTGAAATTGTTCTTGTTATCCCTATGGCCGCGAATCTGGGGATGAAAAGTACTGCCTAGGCCA